GAAGCCCTGCGGCTGCGCGTGACGCGGCCGAACCCCGCCGCCGTGATGCGGCTGCCCGGCAAGATGAATTGTCAAGCAGATTCCAACATATCTTCCAGTTCGGCACATGTGATCCATTTGTCCGTCGAGATCTCTTCGAGCGAGCTGGCCCAGAAGTGATCCCGTATCTCTCTCAGCTTCCGCAGCTTCGCTACCAGGCAAGCTCTACGAGTCATCATTCAATTCGGCAGATGTTTGCAATTCCCGGGGCCCCGCGCGCCGCGGCCGGCGCCGCCACGGCCGCAGTGGCGCGGAGGCCCTCGCCGCTGCGGCCCCCGCGGCACCGCTGCGCGAGGCGGGGCGCCGGCCCGCGCCGCCCCCCTCTGCGGCGGTATGCGGGGGGGGCGCCGCCCGCCCCGCTCGGAGGCAGCGCGCCGCGCGGGGGCGCAGCGTGCTGGCTGTAAGTCGGGCCTGTCCCTCTACAGGAGGAATGTTCAAAACTAATCGAATAAAGTAGTGTGGGGACGATTTGTTTTAGCATTGCTGTGCAATGCTGCTATATTGTTCGTGCATTTTTCATTTTTCGTCCAAGATCTCCCTGTAGGGAGACATGCCCGACCGATCGCTGGCTCCGATCCCGCGGATGCCGATGGGGCGCGGCTTTAGACAGGCATGTCTGTCTACAGGAGCGACTATTCAAAAACACGCGGAAAATAGTATTGGGACAATGTTTGCTACTATTGCTTTGCAATCGTCGAGTAGTCCGACATGTCCGTCTACAGGAGGAACTATCCAAACATACGCGGAAAATAGTCTGGGGACAATGTTCGCTACTATTTGTTGCGATCGTCGAGTATTTTGTTTTGACCATCTTTCATTTTTCTTCCAAAAGCCGCCTGCAGGATGACGTGCCCGACCTGGCGCGGCACGCGGGCGCAGGGCCGCGGCGCAAATATATTCCGTGAGGCGTGCCACAAGTCGGCGGCGAGCTTGGGGGGGTGAGGTGAGAATCGGTATCCTGTTTATCCGATCCCCATCCCCATCCCCATCCCCTTCGAGACCCCGACCAAATTACCACCCCAATTGGGGATACCCCCTTCGAAACCCGAAGGGAACGGTATTACATCCCCATCTATGGGGGGGGAATCGGCCACTTGGGCCCAGGCCAGGCCGCTGGGGATGGGGATCGGTTAAACGATATATTCGGAGAGGTGGGAGTTCTTCGACCTGCGACCAGGGCAAGAGTTGGAATTGGTCCATGCCCCCGACCTTAACACAGTGGTGTGGCCGGAGGTGCCTGTGACACTGAAGGATGATTTGGGGCTGCCCGAAATTGAACGGGGCATCGATTCACTAAACTTGATTTTCTCGACCGCACTTCATGCGAAAAACGATGAAGGGATCACAGTGCTTCTGGATAGGCTGACGAACTTTTACGACATCGCTATAGCGAAGCCGTTGGGCGATGATGCGTCGGAATTGATTGTGGCCATTGGCGAGACCACGGGCTTGCCAAACCGATGGCCAGAAACGGATGGAGCTGACTACCGACGCTCACTGGCCAAGGATATCGAGAGTTGGCGCCAGCGATTCGACGCGGTTCACCAGAGGAATAGCATGGCCCGCACAAGCACGAACATGCCGCGCTGGGCACATCCAGAACAAATTGTATCCGCATGCTGCCCCTGTTTTTGTGACAGAGTCTGCAAACAAGGGATCTGTTTTTGCAGATCGCAACTGGCGGTCGCAAGAGCATCATCATGGCAGTTCCTGTGTGCGGCTTGAGTGTAGAAGAATTCGCTTGTGCCATCGCACGTAATCTTGATCTCTTGCGCCAGATGGCGGCGCTGCTGAGCAGTTTATTTCCAGGCGGTGTTTGCTGCGCTGGTGCAGGTCCCAATGTCGGCCCACTGGCCAGGCTCTTCACTGTGCGCGCAACTCTGCTCTGCGTCTCTTCTTTTGATCGGCCGTTGACATGGTTTTGTTCGACGATACGCACCGTTCTGAGTACTCCAGGTGCGTGGGTGTCGCCATCGTGCCTCCGCATTCGCAACAAGTGTTCAGTTCGCCAGCGAGGAAGCGCGTCTCCTTCGGCGCCACCCGCAGCACTCCTGCAGACCTTCCTCTTGGGATCCGCGAAGCTAATAGAGCACGCACCACCGTTGATTATTCCATTCTCTCCCCAGGCACTTCGGCGGGCAATCACCGCCCCAGCCTGGCGCGCCACGTCCGCGACGCGCCCATTGCCCGAAGGGGACCAGAGTTCTGCAGCGGTGCGCAAGAGGCCGAACAGTAGCGGTTTTGCTCAACAGCTCGGGCGCGCCGACAGGGCGCTGCATTGGCTGGGCATCCAGAGTTGGGTGCGCGAGAATGCTTGGGCGTTTCTGCCCAGGCCCTGCCAGCGCAGGCGGACCGCGGGCGTTCGTCGCCCGTCGACGTGCTCAGCGAGGGGAACCCACTTGCCGCGCGCCGGCACTTGTCATATTGGGGCACCTCGCCGCGGCTCGAGGCCATAGCAGCGCGCGGGGCGGGCCCTGCGACAGCATTTGGCAAAAGTGGACGCATTGACTATCGCCCAACCGGTAACGCAACTGGCACGCGACGATCTCCGCGAGGATGCAGAGCTGGCGGCGCTGCTCAACGACACGCGCAGAGAGGGCCCACCCATCTTCAGAGCCCCGCAGCAAGGGAAGTCCACTGTCCACCTGCGCATTTAGGCTGGATGTCCTGGGCCAGGCGGCGAAGCCACTCCCTGCCGAGATCTACCGGCGAGCACTGTCACTCAACATTCCCGTTGGCACATGGGAAACGGGTTTCAGGCTTTGGGCAATTAGGCGCCAGACTTGGAAAACACATTGGCCCTTTATCGCTAGACGACTGCAGATGGGCAGTCGCCGCGCATCTGGGCGCAGCGCCAGCGAGCAGGCAGAAAGAGGTTCAGAGCAAGGGGCATCTGAGTACCAGTGGTAGGGGGGGGGTCAGGCATTCGAGCAATTGCGCGGGTGACTTGGGGCGGCGCGCCGGTGGCCTAAGGCGGCGCTCGCTGTCAGGGCCAGCGGGCAGCCCGCATGGGGCTGGGCGCGCGGGCGGCCCAGGCCTCGCATCATAGCCAACGACTTGATGAGCCCAGCTGTGTCTGCCCGCGTGCGACGCGCTTCAGCGATGACGCGCAGGACTTGAGAGACGCACTGGTGCCTAGTGGTTGCAAGAGCCAGCGGGCAGCCCGGAAGGGGCTGAGATTGGAAGCGCCCCAGGCTTCGCAACGGATCCAACGTTTGGATGAGATTGGCTTTGTCTGTGATTTTTATGAGTAGAATTGGGGGGTGGTCCTCAGGCACTTGAGCGATTGCGCGCAGGACTTGGGGGGCGCGCCGGTGCCTGATGGCTGTGAGACTGCAGGTGGGTTCTTGTTGGGCATGGGCGCCGAGCCGGCGGGCGGCCTCGCAGGGGCACGGCGCGCGTGGGTCCCAGGCGTCGCCGCGGACCCAACGTTTCGATGAGTTGGGCTTTGCCCAGGATTGTGAAGAGTATCAGTGGGGGGCGGTGCTCAGGCACTTGAGCGAGCACGTGCAGAATTTGGGAGATACCATGGCGCTTGATGGCCATAAGACAGCAGACGGGAACTCGCTGGGCACGCGGGCGCAGAGCCAGCGGGCATCCCAGAAGGGGCTGAGCGCGCCAGCTTCCCAGGCTGCGCAACAGATCGAACGACTGGGGGGCTGCAGCTCCGATTGGGCGGCGCGCGTTCGGACGCCGCTGGGGGGGGGGGGGAGTTCAGGCGCTCGAGCAGGAAAGCGCAGGATTTCGGAGAGTCACTGGCGCCCTTGCTAGGCGCCGCTGCGGATGGGCACTCTCTGCGGCGCGGGGACGGCAGGTGGCCCTGGCCGGGCGCCCTCCCTTGAGACGGGGGGCCGCTGCAAGCGGGGATCTAAGTTGTTTTCAAAAAGGCTTGGTTTTGTTTGTTTTGTTGTTATGTTGGCATGCTTCCTTTTTTGGGGCTGCGATCTACCAAAATTGAAACAAACCGGTGGCCCAAAACGGATTAAAGACGTCGTGCTCGAGCCGAAAACGAAAAGGAGACGGAGTGTCAACAAGGGGTTCAGCCAGAGCGTTGGATCATGCGGGATCCTTGCAGGGCTACGGGCGCACTGACCCGTCCGGGCCTGCGAGCAGGATCCTGCAGCCTCCTGCAGAGCCCGATCGGCCCGGACTTGCACCGACCCGTTTCTTCCGGTGCCGCCAGGACGCCTTTCTTTCATGCCGTCGGCTATTTTGCCATGGTTTTCGTGGAGATGGTTTGTTGAGCGCTAAACTTAGGTCAGGCGTGTCCCTCTACAGGAGGAACATTCAAAAATAGTATCTAAAAAGTATGGGAACGATTATGTCACTACCGTTGCTTATTTTTAAGTGTTCGTGGATTTGCTTCGATTTGTCATCCAAAATCCGCCTGTAGGGGGACATGCCCGACCTAACGCTAAACACACTCCTACGTGACCTGGAACGGCGCTCCCGTCTCAACGCCGCTACAGGGGCCCCGACCGCACCTTCCCTCTTAGGGCAGAGGAGGCACATCGACCCAGAAAGGCCCACTCCGCAAGCATTCCGTTTCCCTGCGGGGCGCTCCAGTTCAGGCCAAAGCGGGGCGGGTTCGCACGTTTCGTGTGGTCCAAAACCTCAGCGTTGGACCATACATACATTGGTCCGTTCGAATATGTTTGGTTACACGTGTGCGAAGGTGACACCGAGGCATCGAAAGGGGAGAGGGCTTTGCATCCGTATCAGCTCTCATCGCGAGGGGTGCCAGGCTCACACACAAACTCACGTGCGAACATGGCTCTGTCTGCCCTCTTCGTCGATCCCCTGAGCCGTCCGCTGTAACTCACCCCGCCCTGCTTGCCGAGCACGCCGACCGCGTCCGTCCCTATCTCCGTCCCCGCCCGTCCGTCGCCTCGTTCGTCCTCGTTCGGAGGCCCCGCCGCCCCAGCGCTCGGCACTTCCCGGCGTGACGCTGCTCCGCCCGCAGCCGCTCGAGCGGAGCTCAAGCGGGGCCCGCGCGAGCGGCGACTGGACGCGCACGGCGGCGCGGCGCAGCTGGTGCCAGGAGATGGACGCCAACCAGGACTGAAGACTTCTCTCGGGGTCCACCCTCCCCCCGACGTCCCTTCATCCTGCTCTGTTCCCCCTCCTCCGCCTGCTCCTCCTCCTACTCCTCGTCTCATCTTCTCTCGCAGCGCTGTGGAAGCGATCGCTTGTCCGCGCCGCTCGCTGGCGCCCCCGGAGGGGGGGGGGCCCTCGCGCGCGGCCGCGGGACTCACCCTCGCTCGGGAAAGGAAAGAAAGGCGAAGAGTAGGGGAACCATGCGACCAATCCCACAATCCCGAGGTTTTAAGAGGTTGTAAAGGAACGGTGAGAAGGGGTGGAAGGCGTCCGTGCTATTCACATCGCGCGTGCTATTCGGGACGTGCAGCTTGTTTTTAGCGTAGTAGATGTAGCGTGGTTGCCCGTAGCGTAGTAGGCGGCACAATGTTGTTGGTCACACAGGGGAACATGTTGTCTATCGATGTGCTCGGGTACTTCGCACGAGTCGAGACAACACACGGACCGTAGGTACCATGTTCGATCCGGTATTCTGAGCAAGGGAGTTCTGTACCAACGCGGCTCAAGGTTCGCAAGGCCAACCTTGTTGTTGTTTTGTGTTGCGAATGAAGTATAGGGCGACGTTGCCCTCCTCCAGGCGGGTTAAAGCGGATGGCGCATCTGCAGTTGAACGCGCGGATGCGTTACAACGCAGTCGGAAAATTAATGTGCCCCATTTGCCCTGGACTGGGTCATTGACAGCGATCGGCGTTGCCTTCTCTCGAAGGTCTGCTCGTGGCCTTTGCAACTCAGCTCGTCGCTTGGGCAGCTCTGCGGGAGTCTCTCGCTGTTCTGTTTGCGGCCCGCGTAGCTCGGGTTGCGGCCCTCGTAGCTCAGCAGGTGGCCCTCGTAGCTGGGCTGTTGGGTCTCGAGACGCTCCTCCTGGCCCTCGCAGTTTAGCTCGCCGCCCGGGTAGCGCAGCGGCGGATTCTAGTAGATCATGTTGTGGCCTGGGTAGCTGAGGTCGTGGCCTTCTCATCTCAGCAAGTGGCCCGCGTAGTTGGGCTGATGGATCAGGAAGCTTTGCTCGTGGCCCTTGCAGTTTAGGTCGTCGCCCTGGTAACTTCGCTGGGGTTCGCGTCGATAAACTCGTGTCCCTCGTAGCTCCTCAAGCGGCTTTCGTGGCTGCGCTGGCGGTGGCCTTTGCAGTGCAGTTTCTCGTCGAAGTGGCTATGCGGGAGGTTCCTGTGGTTCTGTCCGTGGCCCGCGTAGCTCTGGTTGCAATCCCCACAGTTCGGCAGGTCATCCTCGTTGGTGTGCTGCTGGTTCTGGATGGTCTGATCGTGGCCCTTGCAGTACACCCCGTCGCCCTGGTGGCTCTACCGGTGGCTGTAGTAGCTGCACGTGTGGCCCTCGTAGCTCAGCTCGTGGTCGTAGAAGGCCCGCTGGTGGCCCTGGTCGCGCTGCTGGTGGCTGTACTAGGTTTGTTTGTGGTCCACGAAGCACAGATTGCGCCTCTGGTCTCTCAGCTGCTGGTCCCTGTAGCTCTGCTTCTGGCCCTCGAAACTTTGGGGGTGGCCCTCGTAGTCCAGTTGGTGGTCCGTGTAGCTCAGCTTGTGGCCCTCGCAGCTGAGCTTGCAGCCCTCGTGGCTCAGCCGGTGGTGCTCGTAACCCCCGTCGTGGCGTTCGTGGTTTGGCTTGCGTTCCTCGTCCTCGCAGCTCTGGCGGTGGCTCCCGTAGCTGTGCCTGCGGTCCTCGCAGCTCAGCCCGTGGTCCTCGGAGCTCTGCCTGTGGCCCCGGCGGCTCTGCTGGTGGCGGTCGTAGCTCTGCGCGTTGCCTTCGGAGCTGAGGCTGTGGCCCCCGTGGCTCTGCAGGCGGACCTCGTGGCTCTGTCGGTGGTTCCCGAGGCTCTGTTCGTGGTCCTCACCGCTCAAGTGGTAGCTCCAGTAGGTCACCGAGTGGCCCTCGTAGCTCAGACGGTGGCCATCGTGGCTCGTCTGGTGGTCATCGCAGCCCTGCTTGTGGTATTCGAAACGTTGGTTGCCCTCATAGCACGGCGGGTTGTCCTGGCCCAGGAAGAAAGCGAGGAGCACGTCCACCTGTTCGTCCTTCTCCACGTCCGGGTCAAACACGCGGTACCTGGTGCCCACAACCACCGCGCGTGTTTCGACATTGTCTACGACGTCCGAGTCGGAGTCTTCGGCTGCCCAGTGGTGGTACTCGACGTTTCGGCTGCCAGCGCCGTGCAGGAGATCGTGCCGGTCTCGCGCAGTTAGCTCGGTATGTGGTCTTGGTGCGACGGCTGGTGGTGCTCGACGCTCAGGCGTTGGTTCTCCATACGCTGTCGGTGGCCCTTGCAGCAAAGCGGGTGGTTCTCGGAGCTCTTCTTCATGCCCTTGTAGCTCTGCTTGTGGGTCTCGTCGCATAGCACGTTGCCCTGGTAGCTCTGCCTGTGGTTCTCGTAGCCCTGTGTGTTGCCCTCGCAGCTCTGGTGGCAAGGTGAGGAAGCCGGTGTCTGCGTGTCCGTCGAAGCCGTTGTAGTCGCCGTGCCTGTTGTAGGCGTCGTAGTCGTAGTCGGGGTAAGCGGCGCAGCCGTGGCCCATTGGTGCCTCCACGACGATGTACTTTGTATTTTTTTCGGGCTGCTTGGTCGTGCCGTGCCTGGTGGCGTACCTCTTGTTGCCGTGCTTGGTGTCGTACGAGGTGTCGTGTAGGACGCCCTCGCGAGGGCGGCCGTGACAGTAAGAATGGGCATGGGACTCCCGTGGGCCACTCTCTTGGCTCATTTTGATGGCATCTACTTCGCGTTCATCCTCCTCCTCTTTCTTTCTTCGTCCTTCTGTAAAGGATTGCGAATTGATTTTCTTTTGTGGCGGACTCCAAATTGATTCCTTTTGTAGCGGATTACAAATGGACTCCTTTGTGCCAGATTACAGCTTGATTCCTTTTGTGGCGGATAACAAACAAATTCCTTTTGTGAAGGATTACAAATTGATTCCTTTTGTGGCGGATTAGAAATTGATTCCTTTGTGGCGGATTACACATTGATTCCTTTTGTGGCGGATTACAAAGGGAATCCTTCCGTGTCGAATAACAAAGGGAACCTTTTTGGGGCGGATTACACATTGATTCCTTTTGTGGCGGATTATAAAGGGAATCTTTTTGTGGCAGATTACAAATTGATTCCTTTTGTGGCGGATTGCAAAGGAAATCCTTTTGTGGCGAATTACAAAGGGAATCCTTTTGTGGCGGATTACACATTGGTTCCTTTTGTGGCGGATTATAAAGGGAATCCTTTTGTAGCGGATTACAAAAGGGAATCCTTTTGTGGCGGATTACAAATTGATTCCTTTTGTGGCGGTTTACAAAGGAAATCCTGTTGTGGCGAATTACAAAGGGAATCCTTTTGTGGGGATCTTTAGCGGCCTGGGCGTGCGAGAGGTTCCCAGGGTTTGAGAATTTAGGAAAATATTGATTAAAAAAAAAAAAAAAAAAAAAAAAAAAAAAAAAAAAAAATCGGAAAACCACGCTTCGCTTGAGACTGTCTGGAACATTTATAAATCCATGGAGCTTGGCTGATGTAAAATTCAAAGGGAGTCTCAAGCGAAACCTGCTTTTTTCTTTGTTTTTACGTTGATTTCACACAGAAAACACAGTTTCCCTTGCGACTCCCTTTGAATTTTACATCAGCCAAACCCAATGGATTCATAAAATTCTGAAACAGTCTGAAGCGAAACTTGGTTTTCCGATTTAAAAATTTACACAAAACCCTGGGAACTTCTCGCACGTCCAGGCCGCTAAAGATCCCCACAAAAGGATTCCCTTTGTAATTCGCCACGCAAGGATTTCCTTTGCAACCCGCCACAAAAGGAATCAATTTGTAATCCGCCACAAAAGGGTTCCTTTTGTAATCCGCCACAAGGATTCCCTTTGTAACCCGCCACGAAAGAAATCAATTTGTAATCCGCCACAGAAGGATCACCTTTGTAACTCGCCACAACAGAAGTCAGTTTGTAATCCCTCACACAAGGATTCCTTTTGTAATCCGCCACAAAAGGGGTCAATGTGTAATCCGCCACAAAAGGAACCAAGTGGTAACCCGCCACACAATGAATCATTATGTAATCCGCCACAAAAGGAAGAAAGTTGTAATCCGTCGCCTAAGGAATAAACTTGTAATCCGCCACAAAAGGTTTCACGTTGTAATCCGCCACAAAAGGAAACATGTTGGCATCCGCCACAAGGGAGAGAGAGAGAGAGAGAGAGTGAGGGATAGAGAGAAGGAGAGAGAAGCATTAAGGAGAGGGAGCGGGAGAAGGAGAGGGAAGCATGAAACCTTCAAAGTGCCGAAAGCCCGCCATACCCATCCAGTCTGGAGCTCCTCAGGCGCCAGGCTGGATGGGCATGGCTGGCTTTCGGCCTTCAAAGGGTTTAAGGGCAGTTCTTTGTCCAATTCCGTTTCGCTCTCCCGTTCTCTCCCAATCCTGCATTCCTTCCTCCTCCTCCTCCTCCTCCTCCTCCTCCTCCTCCTCCTCCTCCCCCCGTGGACTCATTTGACGGAGGTGCTTTCTGACGTTTCTATTGCAATCAAATGGACATGCGGGCAGGTCAAACTCGCGAGTTATTTTCAGGTGCGACGGCTATTAAGAACACGCGCGTGCAAGTTGTGAACGGGCAGCGATGCCTACATCGCAGATTCCCCCGTCTCCTCCTCCTCCTCCTCCTCATCGTCATCATCATCATCCCCTCATCTTCCTCCCCCCCCTCCATCCTCCTCCTCCTCATCCTCGTTGCCGTCGCCGTCGTCGCCCTCCTCCTCGCCCACCCCCCCGTCTCCAACTCCTCGTCGTTCGTCTCTTGTTCCTCGGCCCCGCCTCCGCCTTTTATCCCGCCCTCGCCTCCTCCCCCCCTCTCCTCCTTCACCCCGCTGTCCCCCTTCCCCGCCGCCACCCCAGCCCCCTCCTCCCCCTGTCCTCTTCTGGCATCGCTGATCCCTCCTCGCCTCCCTTCTCCCCCACCCCCGATCCACATGGCCCTCCCTCA